CTGAACATAGCTTTGCAGAGATTCGTCTGGGCCCTACTTCATGTTTAGTAGGTGGTAGGAAGGTTTCCTGTAAATCTTGACCCTTGTGAAATGAGACATGAAGGAGATGGAGAGCTCTCTGAATGAAGAAAATGAGGCTAGGGCTAGCCTATTGAATCATGCTAAGGCTGAGTCCTTTAAAGTGATGGTAAAGGCCCAACAATGCACTGGTTCATGGTATCCGTGTAACTCCATTTGATTCTTATAGGTGTTAAGGAGGTCCATAGGGTCTTTCACCCCCTCGAATGTCTTGATTTGAGGCATTTTGAATTTCTAGAGGAGAGGAAAATGTAGCACTCCAAGCGTGAATGGAGACTCTATTTGTTGAAATAGAGCGTCCATGGTTATCAGGGTCTTGTTTTTCACCACCTCATTTATGTGGCTTAGCTTCTACTATATTTCCTTGAAGCATTGTTCCTAGAACTGATCCTTCCCATCTTGCTAGGATGGAACTAGGGCGCGCTCCTTTCTGAACACTCCTCTAACTTGGCTTTGGACCTATCTTCTTCTCCATTTCTTGAGCTTGGCGATGTAAAATGTCGACTGAATGACTGAGGTCTATTTCTTCTATAATCTCCTTTAGAGGATTTAGACGATGAAATTCTCCACGTGGGGGATCATTCTAGGCTGGTGGTGCCATTCAGAGATTATGAGTATGGATAAGAGCTACCAAACTTCATTTTGCTTAATGAGGCACTCGTTGGCCTGTTGTAGTGCCTCAAATTCGTTACTTGGAGGAGGATATGCTACTGGTGGATCGCCTTTTGGGTTTAGCAAGGGATCTTCAAGGATCTTGAGTTGTCCAATACCATTGGCTTCCTGCTAGTTCTGCAAACGTGGTTGATTTCTTTGAACTATGCTCATGTTACGCGTATAGACCATCAATTACTGAAGGATCAGTATATTTAAATAGGAGTCGAAACAGTCATTCCCATAAACAGCGTCAAACTGATGGTGTGGTCTACATGACTAAATGGCTGAGCTTGGGGCCCAAAAAAGGGGAAAATTTATTAGAGATATATATTCACATCCAATCAAAGCCACTAGGCTCCTAATAGTAAATAGTTAATCATAGAGATTATAACCATCAATGGAAATTGATAGACATGAGATTTATAGTGGTTCACTAGCTCGGATGCTTGGTTCCACTCTAATGAAATCTCTTACTCTTGAGGGGTTTGCTATTATTTGGGAAAAAAGATTACAAGGTTTAGTAGAAAGTACACTCTTAGTCATATCTCTCTCTCCTACAAAATATGGGATTGATCCCTATTTATAACATGTAGGAGCTAGGAGTTATAAATGTGATTCTCGCGTAACCGTCGTAATCCTCGCGTAACGGCCATGATCTATGCGTTGTCATCATGATCCCTTTGGGGTCGTTGCGACCCATAAGACGGGATCTTTGGCTAATAAAAGCTTTATTCTCATGGTGTGACAAGACCTTCCAGAAAGTGTGAGCTATAGGGGTCATGTCAGTAATGGTTATCGACTTGGGGACCTAATATGAGATCTGAATTGGGTTGGGATGTTCGAGTTGGAATACCCGAATCGGACATTGCCATGTGGGGACCCCATTGGGGGCAAGTTCTCGTTTCACTTCAGGGCCGAGCTTACCCTTGTCTAATTTTTGGTATCATCAAGTTCTACTTTTATCGACAATAGATAATTTATTAAGCAAGTGAAGTACAACCCGATATTACTTATATCCTGTCACGAACAAAAAATTGTACCACAATCCAATGTCACACATTTATATACCGTTCCAAGGTGTGCATTGCATCGTTACATGACATTTGTTTGCAATTATATTGATTCATGTAAAATATTATAATTTTACATGCAACATTTTTTAATTAGATGAAGAGTGAAAGTAAAATACTGAAATTCACTTGACGCAAAACATATTAGAAGCTGTCAGTGTAGGACAAAACTTTAACAACCTGCGGCTGATGAACCATCCTCAAGAAACTTGAACTTCAAATCAAACAAATTCCTTCTGAAAAGGCTTATATTTCAAATCATTTCCTTCCTCCGAAGATGTTTGTTTTATCTAATCTAAAACCAATTGGTCCTTTGTTAGGATAACATAATAGACAAAACTTTTGATGTTCTAAACCCCTCCATTTATGAACTTATTAGCATGTATGTAATATATTTTCTTTCACCTGCTCAAGGCTTCCATCTAGAACTATGCATTCATTTCATTGGATATGAAATTTTAAATAATATCCACTCTTAAATTAGGGAATAAAAAAAATACACAAGTTGGGTGATCTTATCTTTTATTTTCATGGCACATAGATATAGGGCTCGAATTTCAATTAGTCTTGAATTGTGAAGTCTGTCTAATTCGTGTTCGAATCGTATTATTTTAGATTCGTGTAAGGAATTAATTAACTCTTGTACAACATATTTAACTAAACATGTCAAATGATCACATTGATTGGATCTATTTATTAATGATGGTTAATATAAGTTATCAAGCATAATCTATGAATCACAAAGTGCTAAGATTCCTTTTTCTCTCATTCAAACCAACCCATGGTAGATTTTTCCCAAATTAAAAATAACAACGTTTAGATGTAACGGACGACGATATTCCAAATTGTCTTGAGCTATTGATGTCTCAGATCGTTTTGATATGACAAACCTCATTAATTCTTTTGAAATATTTTTACTGTTCAAAATTTATAGTTTTCAACATTGATATTCCAAAATTTAATTCCCCCAAATCTTTTCCTTAAATCATGCAAATCTTTCTCTCTATCTCTCTCATTCCTTTGTATCTCTATCTCGCGCTCAATTCACACAAAAAATATCAATTTTTGACAATATTTTCCTTTGTATCTCTCTTCGTATCTCACGGAAATATCACAAAAATATTAAGTAATGCCTGATTCAAACAAATACTACATCTCTCTATAGATATATAATATATATCACTGAGAGAGATAATATATTATAAGAATATTCCTCTGTATCTCTCTCTGAAGGAAATTATGTAATAAATATTAGATAATATATATCACAAAAATATTCCTCTATATCTTCTATTTCATTCAAGCAATACTACAAAGACGAATCATATAAATTCAATAGTCAATTTTATTTTTTTCATAATAAATAAAAAAAAGCATAGCTTGCAAAAAAATTAATTTAACAAAAAAAATATGCTTAACATGTAAAATATACAAGATTAAATTTAAGTTATTGGATAACTCAGATATCAAGAGATATATTAAAGAAAATATGCTTAACATTTAAAATATACAAGATTAAATTCATATACAAACACAAATTATATAAATTCAATATTTAGTGAACAACACAAAGCAACAATATTTACTAAATAATCCAAATCTAAATACCCAAGAAAAATGATACAAAATTATAAGGGAGAGAAACGATACAAAATTATAAATAATACTATGAACACGAGTCATACAAACTCAATATTTCGTGAATAATACGAAGTAACAATCTTTACTAAATAATCTAATACTAAATAAAATTTAGTTTAATAAAATATACTAAGAATATAAATAACCGAGAAGAATGATATAAAATTAAAAACATTACTATAAACTCGAATCATACAAATTCAATAGTCAATTTTATTTTTTCCATAATCAATAAAAAAAACAAAACTTGCAAAAAATCTAATTTAACAAAGAAAATATGCTTAACATGTAAAATATACAAAATTAAATTCAAGTTATAGGGCAACTCAGATATCAAAAGATATATGAAAGAAAATATACTTAACATTTAAAATATACAAGATTAAATTCATATACAAACACGAATCATACAAATTCAACATTTAGTGAATAACATAAAGCAACAATATTTACTAAATAATCCAAATCTAAATACCCAAGAAAAATGATACAAAATTACAAGTGAGATAAACGATACAAAATTATAAGTAATACTATGAACACGAATCATACAAATTCAATATTTAGTGAATAACACAAAGCAACAATCTTTACTAAATAATGCAACACTAAATAATGTTTAGTTTAAGAAAATATACTAAGAATATAAACTCGAATGATATAAATTCAATAGTCATGTCGTATCTTTTGGAAGTCGATTGATTTCTGATAGTTATATTTGGTCATTTGACAATATCTACAAACTTAGTTTTTTTGTGAGAGTATTGTTTTAATTTTCATTCTATTAGTTATGAATATAAACTTGAATTTTGCATCAAAAAAAACATTGAATATTGTCAACAAATATATTTTTTCAGATGTTTGAATTATTATGTTTCAGTAGTTATAACATAATTTTCGTGGTGTAACAATTTAATGTAGAAATATATGCTATGTATGTAGGTTGATGTTATAAAAAATATTAGCGAACTCATTTTGTTCATCGTTTGCTACAATGTTGTATTTTAGTTTACATTTATGTATGTACAAATATTTGTAACTAATTTACGAGTAGGCACGAGCAATTAGTAAAATATATATATATATATATATATATATATTAAAATACTCAAAAAAAAAAACAATAGATCAAGAAATTGAAAGAAAGAAATAAAAAACATCATATATTATTTTGACATATGCAAATTAAATGTATTAATTGTTTCGAAATCAGTTTATTAGTTTTTGACTATAACCTAACCTATTAATTTTTATATTAGCGGATCATATTATTTTTTATTTCAGGTTAAAGATGTCAGTTCACTAATTTGCGTTGAGTTCGTCTAGTGAATGATGTTGATTATTACCATCCCTGAGTAGAACTCTCATCATCTCATTTATCTTTTCTTTCTTTCTCTTCTTTGCTTATAAAGGGGGTTTCACTCATATTGAACACAACCACAAACAAGCCATGACTATTTTTCCATTTACTATATCATGGCTTCCTCTTCCTCTACTCCTCTATTTGCCTTTCCTTTATCTCTGTCTTCTCTATCCAAAGAACAAAGTTGGCAATAGAGCCAAGCTTCCTCCAAGCCTCCGAGGCTTTCCATCATAGGCAACTTGCACCAGCTAGGCAAACTGCCTCACCAATCCCTATGGAAACTCTTGCAGAAATACGGTTCGGTCATGCTATTACAGCTTGGTAACAGCCCAACCCTAGTCATCTTGTCGACAGACATGGCCAAAGAAGTCCTGAAAACACACGACATTGACTTTTGTAGCCGGCTGCCCTCTCCCAATGCAAAGAGACATACCTACAATTTCTCAAACATGGCTTACAGTGATCACTGGCGAGAGATGTGCAAAATCTTTGTAACTAGGCTTCTCAATCCAAGTAGAGTGCAATCGTTTGGGCAAGCAAGTGAGGTTGAGATTAATAATATGATAAACTCTCTACTACTAGCCTCACCTAATCCTGTTGATCTTGACGAGCAAATCTATAGTTTTACGGATGGGTTTCTTGGCACATCTGCCCTGTGTAAAAGCTATAGAGGAAAGCAATTTAAGGGTCAAAACTTGAAAGATGTTGTTGAGGACGCCATTAGAATGCTAGATGGTTTCTCGGCTGAGGACTTTTTCCCATGGATTGGGAACATGGCACACATTTTAACTGGGCAACGTGATAGGCCAGAGAAGTGCTTTAGTATGCTTGATGGTTACTTTCGAATGATACTTGAAAAGTGATGATACATGAAAAGAATTTTAACTAAGTATTAGCTCGGGAAATGAGGTCAGACAAGGAGGTCAAACAAGAAGCCCAGAGCTCAGAGGCCCAAGCCTCGAGCTCCTCTTGGATGAAAGAGCAAAAGAGGTGAGAAGAGAATAGCTGACTAAGAGGAGGCATCCACAAAACAGCAAGAGGACAGTAATTAAGGCGTGAAACTCTCAACCACCCAAGATCCCCTCCCAAAATCAAGGGAAATCCTGTAGATGAAGGGCTGGGATCTTGCTGAAGTTCCCTTAGAAACAAAGATCGGACTATAAATATTGAACAGGGCCTCCAACAAAGGGGACAAGAAAAAAATATTTGTAAATCACTCTATAATTTATAATGGTGGCCAATATAGATCTGAGGAGCAAGAGAATCCATTCGAGAGTGGACTAGCTGAGCTCCTGAGCTCGGTGACCACTATATTTTCACTTTGCAAGTCATCCCAATCTCCTAACCCTTGAACACTTTGATTCTGATCAATTGGCATAATTCATTCATTTTTCTCAATTGGCATAGTTAGCACCATCAGTTTAGCGCCGTTTGTGGGACCGACTATTCTTATTACAAAAATGCTGATCCTTCAGTAACGAATGGTATCAACTCACAACACGAGCAGAAATCAGATAAATCCCCTGCAGATCCAAAACTAACAAGAAGCTACTGGCGATGGGCAACATGAAAACATTCAGGATTTCATCACCACCGCTGAAATTGATTCCTCTATGGTAAATCCCCCAACGAATAATGAGTTGGAGGCTCTTCGCCTGGTAAACCAGTGTCTGCTTCAGCAAAACAAAGAGCTTTTGAAGCTCTTACAAGGTCCTCAATAGGCCAGACCAACCCAAGGAGGTCCCCACAGGGAGAACATCGGCACCTCGACCCCCTTAAAGAAGTCAATGAAGGGGGTGAGAATAGCCACGCCCCTCCTCCACCTCCTAGGAATGGTGAAAATGAAGAAGGACAAAGTCAGGATGAAGGGATTGAGAAAAATAATTTTCTCCCTGTCCAACAAAAAAGAAGAGAACAATATTGGGAGTAGCACTTCTATGATATCCAGCAAGAGCTCATCCACATGAAGGAAGTCGTGAAGGGTAAGACCTCAATGACAATGGATGCTTTGGTGCAGTAAACTAAGTCCCCATTCACTGCTGGGGTATTGCATTTTTCTCTCCCTCCAAAGTTCAGAATGCCCCAGATAGAGGCATTTGATGGGACTAAAGATCCCATGGACCACCTCAATACTTACAAAAATCAGATGGAGCTGCATGGATATCAGGACTCTGTGTGATATCGAGCCTTCACCATCACGCTAAAAGGCTCAGCCCTAACATGGTTCAACATACTTCCCCCGACATCAATCTCTTCTTTCAAGGAGCTCTCCATATCTTTTGTATCCCATTTCATAGGAGCCCGGACCTACCGAAAGCCGAGTTACCACCTGTTGAACGTAAAATAGGGACCCAATGAGAACCTGCGGTCTTATGTCCAAAGGTTCAACTCAGAATCCCTAAAGGTGGACGGTTCAGATGAGAAGTTTGCTATCACCGCTTTTATTGCTAGACTAGGAGTGCATTCGAAGGATTTGATGTTTTCGATATCAAAGAATCCACAGGCAAGCATGACAGAGATGCTGGCTAAGGCAAAAAAGTATATTAATGGTGAGGAAACCCTTCCCTCAAAGGTAAGGAGCTCATCTTCTCAAAAGGAAAAGGTGAAAGAAGAAAAGAAGAGGGATCGAAGTCCTAAAAAAGAAAGAGGATGAGATAGGTCTCCAAGGAGAGATAGGGATCGCTCCCCCAAGGGGAGATGTCAGAGATCACCTATGTCCTACTCAACCAGAGTTACAACCGAGGTATGCACCTCAGCATCTCACTCCTCTCACTTCCATAGTGTCCCAGATCCTGTATGAGGTGTATAATGAGAAGTTCTTAAGATGGCCCCCTTGAATGAAGGTAAATCCATCAAAGAGAGATCCCATAAAGTACTGCGAATACCATAGAGACCACACTAATGACTGCATCCAGTTGAAGAAGGAGATTGAATTCTTGATCCAAAGGGGAGAATTGCATCATTTTGTTGCCCATGATAACCAGAACCGAGCTCCACCACCCCCAGCACCTTAACAGTAAGCCCCTGTACAGCACCAAGAACCCCTAGGGGAAATCAGAGTAATATCTAGAGGATTTTCAGGAAGGGGGAATGCAACTTCGCTACGAAAGCTCACCTATGCAGAATCCGAGCTGATGAGACATTGAAAGTGCATACTATATCCAAGACTCCACGTCTGAACATACCTTTCATTTTCTCAAACTCAGATCTGGAAGGCTGCTAGCATCCCCATGATGACCCCTTGGTGGTAAGAGCAGTCGTTGAAAACAGAACCGTTCATTGAGTTCTGATTGACAATGGAAGCTTTGCAGACATCAACTTTGCACCAACATTTGATAAGATAGGAATAGGCAGAGAAAAGCTCGAGCCAGTAAGTACCCATCTGTTAGGGTTCCTAGTAGAAAGGGTACTACCCTTGGGGTCAATACAACTCGTGCTCACAATCGAGGACCCTCCCCATCAGACATCCACTACCTTTGGCGTACAATATGCTGATTGGGAGACCTTCCCTCAATGCAATGAGGGCTATACCTTATGCTTACCACTTGGTTATGAAGTTTCCTACAGAAAATGGAGTTGGTATGGTCCGACGAGATCAGCGTGTAGCATGGGAGTGCTACATGACATCTATCAAGAGGAAAGAAGTCAAAAATATTCAACTGGACAAGCTCGACATGAGGGACAAGGTGGGCACTAGACCAACATGATCAGAAGAGATAGAACCAGTTTAGCTTGACGAAGAACCAGAACACCTTATCTATGTAGGGTCTAAGCTGAGCAGAGAAATTAAAGACCTTCTCATTCAATTCCTAAAGGAAAATACATAAATATTTTCCTGGAAGCAAGAAGACATGGAGGGCATCAAGCCTTCAGTCATCACGCACAAGCTCAGTGTGAACCCCACTTGCAAACCCGTTAAACAGAAGCGAATAATTTTTGCCCCAAAGTGCCAAAAGGCAATTAATGAGGAGGTCAACAAACTTCTTCATGCCAAAGCCATCAGAGAAGTGGACTACCCTACCTGGCTGGCAAACGTGGTCCTTGTCAAGAAGACCAATGGCAAGTGGCGACTCTATATCGACTTTACATACCTTAATCGAGCTTGCCCCAAAGATAGCTTCCCTTTTGCCACGGATTAATCTGATCGTGGATGCCAACGCTAGACACGAGCTCCTCAGTTTTATGGATGCTTGCTTTGTATACAATTAGATTAGGATAGATCCTAATGATTAGGAGAAAACCTCCTTTATAATCGAGTAGGGAATATACTGCTCAAGTCATGCCTTTCGGGCTGAAGAATGCTAGAGCCACTTATCAGTGACTCGTAAACTGGATGTTCCAGAGGCAAATTGAGACCTCCATGGACGTCTATATCGATGACATGCTAGTGAAATCACTAAATACAGAGCTTCACATTGGGCATTTAGAAGAATCATTTCAGGTCCTCAAGGGGTACAAGATGAAGCTCAACCCCGCCAAATGTGCCTTCGGAGTATCTGTCAAAAAATTTCTGACCTTCATAGTCAACAACAGAGGAATTGAGGCTAACCCAAAAAAGGTTAAGGCAGTAATGGACATGCAGCCACCATCCAGTATCAGAGAAGTTCAGCGCCTTATAGGAAAGATTGCAGTCTTGAGCCGTTTTGTATCTAGGTCAACTGACAAGTGTTAGCCCTTTTTCTAGACCTTAAAAAAGGCATTCCAATGGGACTCTCACTGTGAAGAAGCATTCAAAGCTCTCAAAAACTATCTCACTCCTAGTGCTGGTAAGTCCTTTGGAAGGAGAGGTAATCACCATAAACCTTGCTGTCTCGAATTTTTCAACCAGCGCAGAACTAGTGAGGGAATGAGACTGAGCTCAACAACCAGTCTACTTCTATAGTAGAACACTGAGAGGAGCAGAGGAAAGGTACCCAAAAATGGATAAACTAGTCTTGGCCTTGGTTACGACTGCGAGAAGGCTCAGGCCATACTTCCAGGCCCATACTATTGAGATCCCAACAGATCAACTGATGAAATAGGTGTTGCATAAATTGGAATCTTCTGGGAGGTTGGTTAAATGGGCCATTGAGCTCAGTGAGTTTGATATCAGATACAAGCTGTGGACAACAATCAAAGAACAGATTCTAGCGGATTTCATTGTAAAATTCAAGTCAGAAGCATCTACGGAGGCAACACAACTGGTTCTCGACCTCCCTGTGTGGAAGCTTTCCATAGACAGAGCTGCCAACGCGCAAGGGAGTGGTGCTGGTCTGATTCTAACTTCCCCAGATGGAGTAGATGTCGAGTATGCTCTTAGGTTTGGGTTTAAAGCTTCGAACCATGAAGCAGAATATGAAGCAGTCATTGCTAGGCTAAACCTTGCGTTATCAATGGTGGCAGAACAACTTGAGGTTTGCAGTGACTGCCAACTCGTGGTAAAATAAATAGAGGAGTCTTATGAGGCCAATGGCAAGAAAATGGTCATGTACCTTAGAAAGGTACAAGAATTGATTAAAAAATTTGTGTGATTTAAGATCAGGCACGTCCCTATGTCTGAGAATTCGTGAGCAGATGCACTGGCAAGACTGACAACTGCCTTGTAGGAAAACCTAGCTAGATTGATTCTAGTGGAGTATCTAGCAGAGCCGTCAGTAAACACTAAGGAGGAAGAAGTGCTCCCTGTTCTAGCCTTACCTAGCTGGATGGACCCTATCATAGAGTATCTTTAGAATGGAACCTTGCCAACAGACTCGAAGGAAGCTACAAAGCTGAGAACGAGGTCAGCCAGATTCTCTATCTTGCAAGGGAACGTGTATAAGCAAGGCTTTTTGGCACCTCTCCTCAAATGCGTAGGAAACAAAGACACTAACTATATACTCAG